GGAAATAAAACAATTTAGATGATACAATTAAACTTTACTTAACACTTAATGAAGCAGACAATCACCATTTGAAGGACTGCAAAATGGGCTGGAAGGCAGGATGCTTTTATTGGGTAAAGAATAAAGGAAGAAAAAAAATACAAAAATATCTGGTTGGCTGGAGCCACATAGTCAACCTTGTTTGGGGTGAAAAGGAACAAGAAAATATGTATAGAGCTCAGACTTGGCTTGATGTTTAGGGACTGGCTGACTGGACATACTGCATTTCTGGTCTAGCAGAGCATTTACAGGGACATCAAGGTTATCTAAGTTTTGATTTGTTGATGTGCCACCCTGGGGAGGAATGGCTCCATCTTGGGCCTAGAGATTTATTTCAACATGAGCAAGGGAAGGAAAAAATAGAACACATGAAAACTCCCTCTCCCTCCCTCCCTCCCTTCCAGTGAATAGTTATTGAATAACTAATAACATCCACTATGTGCCAGGCATGTATAAGTGAAAACAGATGTGGTTCCTGCTCATGGGTCCCATAGTCTAATAGAGGAGGCAGACATTAACTAAATATGTAATCACATATAGATCAGTGGAATAGAATAGAGAGTCCAGAAATTAGCCCGAACCAATATGCTCAATTAATTTTTGACAAAGGAGGCATGAACATACAATGGAGCCAAGATAGTCTCTTCAATAAATGGTGTTGGGAAAACTGGACAGATATATGCAAGAATATGAAACTAGACCACCAACTTACACCATACACAAGAATAAACTCAAAATGGATAAAGGACTTAAATGTACGACAGGAAACCATAAAAATTCTAGAAGAATACAAAGGCAACAAAATCTCAGACATATGCCAAAACAATTTCTTCACTGATACAGCTCCTAGGGCAGTTGAAACTAAAGAGAAAATGAACAAATGGGACTACATCAAAATAAAAAGCTTCTGCACAGCAAAAGAAACCATCAACAAAACAACAAGAAAACCCACCTCGTGGGAAAACATATTTGCCAACGTCATATCTGATAAGGGCTTAATCTCCAAAATTTATAGGGAACTCATACAACTTAACAAAAAGAAGATAAACAATCCAATCAAAAAATGGGCAAAGGATCTAAATAGACACCTTTCAAAAGAGGACATTCAGAAAGCCAAGAGACATATGAAAACATGCTCAAAGTCACTAATCATCCGAGAGATGCAAATCAAAACAACAATGAGGTACCATCTCACACCTGTCAGAATGGCCATCATCAACAAATCAACAAACGACAAGTGCTGGAGAGGATGTGGAGAAAAAGGAACACTTGTGCACTGCTGGTGGGAATGCAGACTGGTGCAGCCACTATGGAAGGCAGTATGGAGGTTCCTCAAAAAATTGGAAATGGAACTCCCATTTGACCCTGTGATCCCACTTCTAGGAATATATCCCAAGAAACCAGAAACACCAATCAGAAAGGATATATGCACCCAGATGTTCATAGCAGCACAATTCACCATAGCTAAGATCTGGAAACAGCCTAAGTGCCCATCAGTAGATGAATGGATTAGAAAACTGTGGTACATCTACACGATGGAATACTATGCTACTGTTAAAAAGAAGGAACTCTTACCATTTGCAACAGCATGGATGGAACTGGAGAGCATTATGCTAAGTGAAACAAGCCAGTCAATGAAGGAAAAATACCACATGATCTCACTCTTTCATGGATAATTAAGACCATTACAAACTTTTGAACAATAATAAATACAGTGGCAGAGCTGCCTCAAACCGATTGTCGGACTGCAGTGGGAAGGCCAGGGAGGGTTGGGGGACAGGAGGGAGGGGAATAAGAGATCAACCAAAGGACTTGTATGCATCCATATAACCATAACTAATGGACATAAGACACTGGGGGGTAAGGGAGGGCAGGGGCTTGTCAAGGGTGGGGGGGAAAAGAAGGACACTTATGTAATACCCTTTGTAATACTTTTAGCGAAAAATAAAAAAAAAACAAAAAAAAACAAAAAAAAACTAAATATGTAATCACTCAAATAAAAATCATTGTAAGTTGATAAATGCTTTGAAGAAAAAGTAGAGTTATAGATAAGGAGGAGCTTACTTAGTCGGGGGAGTCAGGACAAGAGTTCTTGAGGAAATGAGAGTAGAGCTGAATGCTGAAGGATTCATGGGCCTTCAAGAGGCTAAGGAGGATGGACAGAGAAAGGACATTCGATACTGAAGGAACAGCTTGTGGGAAGGCTGTGAAGCAGGGAGGGTCTGGCCCTATTTGAGGAACTGAAAGGAGAACTGTCTGAGAGGGAGAATGATATGAGAGCAGAGGAGAAAGTTAGGTAGATCTTGGGTAGAACCATAGGAAGCCATTGAAGGGTTTGAACAGGGGAGTGGCATGGTCAGATGTGAAATGCCAACCCCATGGGGATAGAGTGCACATACCTCAAACAGTAGGCAAAAAAGACAAAGCTAGGAGCAAAGCAACTGTGCTAGGAAAAGAAATATGGACTTTGTAAACTGTATGCATTTTATTTTAAAAGTATTAAAAGAATAAGCAACATCCATACAAAACTGTATACAAATGTTCAAAGCAGCATTATTCATAATAGCCAAAGAGTGGAAACAACCCAAATGTCTATTAACTGGTAAATTGATAAATAAAATGTGAAATGTCCATACAATGGAATTACAAATGTCCATACAATTGGCAACGAAAAGAAATGAAGTACTGATACATGCTACATGGATGACCCTTGAACACATTATACTAAGTAAATGAAGTGAGACACAAACAATGACATATTGTATAATTCCATTTATATGAAATGTACTGTATTGGCAGATCTATGAAGACACAAAATAGATTATTGGTTGCTTAGGGTTAGAGATGAAGTAGGGAATGGACTGCTAATGGGTATAAGGTTTCTTGGAGGGGTGGGGGTCGGGGGGCAAAATTGTCCTAAAGTTAGATGTTGGTGATGACTGCACAACTCTGAAAATATACATGCATGCATGCATGCATAAATAAACCACTTTAAGTGGGTGAATTGTATGGTATCTGATTATATCTCAATGAAGCTGTTAAAAAAGAAAATAATTTAAAAAAGAATCAGGAACTAGGGGTATCTATAAAAATGGATCTCAATCCTAAATTTCTTCTGATGTTATCTTCATTGTACTCCAAATAATTGACGACAATGACTGTCTTGCTAGGGTGAGTTGGGAGGATTTATGGCTCTATTAATACATGTTAGAATGGTAGAGTTGAGCCCATTGTTCATCTAAATTGGCAGTACCAAGCAGCTGTTTCAGGTAATCACACCAGAACTGCAAAAGGCACCAAAAGAGTGCTCAATTCTTTCAGTCTTTTAAGAGTGGTCTTAATTTGTGAAAATAACACCGTTTCTCTTTTTAGTAATTTCCTTTGAAAAACTAACCCTATAAGTTTTCTTAAAATCTTATTTTCATTAACATTGTTAAACTTTAAGATATTGCCTTGTAAACATTTATTTTCTATTTTTAAAATCTTGATTAGGAACATATGAATCATTATTTATTGAATACATCATAGGTTCAAAATAGCTGTAGAGAAAGGAAATGTGAGGTTCAGCAGGTGGCGATGCGTTTGCTTTCGCACGTGGAGAAGGCCAAGGTTTCTTAGGGAAGCATTCCTGGCGTCTGTATTAACCAGTTTCATAGTCCCTCAGCGTGTGTGTGTGTGTGTGTGTGTGTGTGTGTGTGTGTGTGCGCGCGCGCGCGTGTGTCCAATTTCATTTGATTTGTGCTGTTGACTATTAGGTTTTTATAAAAATGCACTTCATTTCCTTTCCTGGCTTTCGTCTTACTGTTGTGCGTACCGAAGTGGAATTCAGGCTTACCCACCTGGGTGCAGGCTGGTTAAAGGTGCCGTGTTTTGTGTATGAGGAAGCTGAGCCTCGAGGATAAGGCACCGTGATTTGATTGCCTCACCAGCTACTGAGAGGTTTTCCCGTGGGAACTCAACTCTCTGGATTTCTGTTTTAGGAAAACGCCTTCATTTTCTGACCTTCAACCTCTATCTTTTCAAGTGTCATACTTAGGAATAAATGTCTTTATTGAGTATCACTTTATGTTGCCTTTGCTTAGAACTGACTTTAAGATTAGAAGAGGTGCTTACCGGCGTGGTGTCACTGGAGGGGAAAGGAGATGGAAGGTGACTTTTCTTTTGGGCCATTCGTTTCCCCAAAAATAACAACTACAAAAAAAAAAATCCCATCTATTTATCCTATTGTGATTAAGTAACAGTAACTGAATACTTGTCCAGCTGTTTTCAACAAAAGGCAGTAAACAGCACTAGGGCTCTGACCTAATGGATTTTAAAAGAGGAATGTCAAGGTCATTGGAAATTAAGTCTTTCAGGACTGTCTCTCACATTGGTTACACGTCTCCCAATCTTCTTTTTTTTAAAAAAAATATACTTTATTGATTATTTACAGAGAGGAAGGGAGAGGGATAGAGAGTTAGAAACATCGATCAGCTGCCTCCTGCACATCAGCTACTGGGGATGTGCCCGCAACCAAGGTGCATGCCCTTGACCGGAATCGAACCCGAGACCCTTCAGTCCGCAGGCGGACGCTCTATCCACTGAGCCAAACCGGTCAGGGTAGGATGCGATACTCTTAAACGCGTCTTTCTCATCTGCCAGGTACGTCCACCCCGAGGAACAGATGCCCTTGAGGAGGCGCAGCTTGACTGGCCTGGCCTCCCGATTCTCAGGGCAATGCTCACACCAGCTTCCACCCGGGGCTCGCCATCTCCGTGGCCAATGCTTTTACCCCCGAGTCCGATGCGCGTGGAGACGTCGCGATGAGCACTAGGGCCCCGAGGCTCCCGGATGCTAACGGTCGCGGTTCCGTAGGGCTGTTGGCTGGTGAGCTCTGAGTGGTCCTTCGGGGAGATGCTGAGGAGAAGGGGCGGAGCCACCGGAGGGATGAGCCGCACTTGAGCGGTCGGCGTTGGTGGGGCTGCCGCTTGGGAAAGGGCCCGGAGTGAGAAGAAAGCGAAGCTTGCTTGTGACGGAGAAGGAGTCCAGCGGACCCCAGGCGGTAAGACTGAGGGGTCCCAGGGACGGAGGCAGGGCCTGGATCCAAACCCACCGAGCAAGCCAACGCTTGAGGTGCTTTGCCGGAGGAAAGGGTTAAACGGTTTCCAAGGTAACGGATCAGGAAGCGCGCAAGACGTTCGCCGCAGGTTCATAGGTTAGCCGGAGTTTAAAGCTCCCACGGCTGTGCGGGTTCTGGCCAATGGAGAGGCCGTCTCCACCTCACGTGACGTGGAGGCCGCGCCACTCGCCGCCGCGGAGCACGTGAGAAGCTTTTCTCTTTTCTTGGCTTTTTTAAAAGCCCACCCACTTTTGCGCGGGCTAGGTCACGAGGTTCTTCTCGCGAGAGGGTGGCGCGCCCTCTCGCGAGAGTGAGTGGGAGGCGTGGGGACTCGGCGGTGGTGCGGGCCAGAGCTGCGGCGGCTAAAGCCGGGGTGGGCAGGGCGGGGGCGGGCCGCGGGGCGGGGAGGGGGAGGGCTGGGAGCAGAGCGGGCGGGGCGTGTGCCGCTCTGCAGCTCGCGCGCCGGGTCGTTGCGGGCTAGTGATAAGCCTGTGGGCTGCGGAGGCTGCGGTCCTCAGGTGAGCTGAGTGCGGGTCCCTTCGCCGCGTGTCTGCCGGCGGCGGCGGGATGTGGGGCCGCGAGGGATGGAGCGGCCCAGTTCCGGCGCCCCAGCCTCCGCCTGTCCGCAGCCTTTGCTCCGACTTGGGGCTGCTCTGAGCTGCGCCTTCGCTTGGATGTGGGAGGAGGGCGGGAGGAGGCAGCGGAGGGAGGAGCGGGGCGGAGGGGGGAAGCCTGGGGCACGGGGCGAGGGTGTGTGTGTACAGGGGCTGAAGAGTCCTCCCGGGGTCCAGCGTGCGGCGGCGGCGGAGCTGCAGTCCTTTGAGTGACAAGTTCAGCTCCCATCCCCCGGGTGGTCTTCAGAGCCGTGTTCGCTCGGTGCGTGGTGGGGCGTGTGCTTAGATTGTGTGCGTGGTGCGCGCACAGGAGGGTGTGCAGGAGGGAGAGGACGTTGCACTTTGTCCCCGAACAGCAGCATCCTTCACTGTCAGAATCCTTGAGCCCTGGAACCAGGCGCAACCCGTGTGGCAGAAATGGAAGGCGTCAAGCAGCTCCTCAGAGGGTTGAAATTTGCATTTTCGGTCAGATTTTCTCTAAGGCTGTTAGTCGTTTAAATGCTGGTCATCCGTATTCCGAATGGATTGAGTATACGTCTGTTATTCCAGGCACCTAAGCTGCTTTATAAAAAAACAAACACATAGATGTGACCAAAGTATTAAAAACGTTGACAAAAAGACTATAGGAATACAATCTAAACCACCACCGTAATATGATTTGGTAACAATTCTTTTCTTCTGCTTAACCCCGTGCTCTAAAGCCTTATTAAACTGAAGGTGATTTGGCTTAAGATGTTAAGGAAATTTCAGGACGAGAAATACTGCTGAGACATCTACTGGCCTGGTGCAAACGTGAGTTAAGAATTCAGGTTCTCTTTTCAGCTTTGTGATTATTCAGTCCCTTGCAAAGCATGTAAGCTTTCCTTAGCTTCTTCCCACCTTGTTAGGGATGTTATAATGATTGATAGTGATTTTGATATGTGTGGAAATACTCAGAAAATACGGGGTTCTTGATAATGCAAAGATGATTTTAATTACTATTTTAGAGTAAATGGAAGTATAGTTCTCAGCGCATGATTAGGACATTTAAAATATTGTGATTTAATGAATCTTTTAAAACACAGTTCGTTTCCACGTAATACCCTGGTTTCCATACTTTTTATGTTCCTTCTAGCAGCACTGCTGCAAGGGTTGCCAGTGAATTTCACTGTTAGTTGCAGCTATAACAGAGCAGTTTGTGAGAGGTCAAAGAATGTAGGGCAGTTGGGACAAATGGGATCCCAAGCTGAACTGGTAACTAGTCATTAGTGTATGTCCCTATGTACCCACATAACTGTGTTATTGATAAAGACTAGTGATATGGTACTTGCCGAAGACCCTGAACCACAGTGAGAAATTCTCTAGCTTCTGATCTCCTGGGGTAAGTCTAGAAACTGAAGAAGTCTTTTGCTTTAGAGGCTGGAAGAAGGATAGTACATTTAATATGTATATATGTAAATATTATATACATATTTTTTAATTCTAGGAACTTACCTTCTAGAAAAGGAAATCAAACCCAATCAGATGATACATTATTGCTCATTTTTAGGGAAGTTTTCACTTATAAATAGTCAGTGGAGTTCTGTCTATACTTGGAGAAAATGTGAAAAACTTAAGAAATGTCTTTTTGAGAATGGGAAAAAGAGACCCATCTATATTAAAAAAGTTCCTTCCCATTCCATATTGGCAAAGTGATATTCAGGGATAGAAAAACGGACTTATTTTATTTATTTTTACTGGTCTTTATAACCTTTTGGCAAGGGTTTCAAGCTTTTAGGATGCAAGTGTTAGTTATTTTGTCTTGCCTTTGAAAAGTAATTGAAGTAACTTTGGGTAGAATAATTATTTAAGTAAGCTGAATTTGTTCTTTTTCTGTCAAGTCACCTACCTTTTAATAATAAAATGAACAACTTGGACAGAACAAGGAGTGGGGGCAGGTCAGGAAAAGTTACCAGCTTAGCTTGGGCTTGAGTTAAGGGTGTCTATATTGGTGAAGTGGGGAAAGAAAAGAAAAATACTTTGTCAGTTTAAAAACAGACCAAACTTTTATACATAAAAGTTCATTTTATTTTAAAATATTTACTAGAAACTGAGGCATTTGAAATACAGGGTGGGCCAAAAGTAGGTTTACAGTTTGCATAGAAAATATTTCAGCCTACACTAATAAAAGAGAAAGATGCAAATTGACTGTACCTTCATGACACCCACAAGCTAATCCGGAGTGACTATGCAAATTAACCCAACAAAGATGGCGGGTTAATTTGCATATGCAGGCGCCGAGCAGCCGGGGGCAGGACGCAGGTGTTCCGCACCGCCTCAGCCACTCTGGGCCTCTGGGCAGCGTGGGAAGACAGAAAGGCAGGCTCCGGCCAGAGCTAAGGTGGTGCTGGCAGCCAGGAGAAGGAAGGCTCGTTCTTGCATGAATCTTCGTTTATCGGGCCTCTAGTCTACACTAATAAAAGAGAACATGCAAATTGGTGTCACTCCGCTACACCCACCAGCCAGCTGAGTACGCAAATTAACCCAACAAAGATGGTGGTTAATTTGCATACACAGGCACAGAGCGAAGACTGAAGACAATGTAGAAGGAAGCCAAGCGCTGCAGAAGGGAGCGAAGCTGCGGAGAAGCAAGTGGGGTGGCGGAGGCGGGAGGGAAGCAAGCGGGAGCGAAGCCTGCCTCGGTGGGTTTCGCTCCCTTCTCTGCTTCGCTCTGGCCACAGGAAGCCCTATTCTTGCAGGAATCTTCCTGCAAGGGGCCTCTAGTCTATATATATAAAAGTCCAAGGGACTGGCTGGCTGGCTGGTAGCTATGACAGGCACTGACCACCAGGGGGCAGACGCTTAATGCAGGAGCGGAAACCACAGGCATGGAAACATGACATGATGAATCTCGGAAGGGGGAGGGAAGAGATTAACCAAAGATCTTATACGCATAACTTGAGGTCCATACTTGAGGCCGGTGCATGGATTTGTGCGCTGGTGGGGTCCCTCGGCCTGGCTTGTGGGGATCGGGCCGAAACTGGCTCTCTGACATCTCCTGAGGGGTCCTGGATTGTGAGAGGGTGCAGGCCAGGTCGAGGGACCCCACTGGTGCACAAATCCGTGCTCCAGGCCTCTAGTCCTAAATAACAAAAGCCTAATATGCAAATTGTCCCCTTGAGAGTTTGACCACTCGCTGTGACGTGTGCTGACCACCAGGGGTGGCGTGAAACACAGGAAGCCCCTGCTGGCAGCCAGCAGCTGGCAACGGCAGCGGAAAGAAGGCCCTGGACAGCAGCCAGAAGACTCAATCAGCCCTGATCTCCGGCCAGCCTAGGGACCCTACCTGTGCACGAATTTCCTGCACCAGGCCTCTAGTATTAAATAATAGTACAAGAATAAACTCTTGTTTTATGTACTCACAACTGTAAACCTACTTTTGCTCCACCCTGTATATAGATTAGAAACTTGGCAGGATAAAAGGAGAAAATATTTTTAACATTTTTGGATTAATCTGAGAATGTTTCATGGGAAGAAGTAAGAGGTAACGTAGTGGCCTGAAACAGGGAGTATGTTTACTTGAGTGAAAATGAGGTAAATTGTAAAGAGTTTTAGGTTTTGGAATCTGGCAGATCTATAAATATTACTGAGCCTCTTTTTCCTCATCCTGAAAAGAGAGTTAACGTACCTCAAAAAGTATTGGGAAGAGCATAGTAGTTGCTTACTCAGTCTTTTTTCATTGACCTCTTTTAATGTCTTGAGGATTATTTGTGAGGAACAAAAACCCATTTGAATTAACTTACTTAAAAAAAGGTGTTTGTCAGATAGATGACTGCCTCTAAAGTCTATTGTATGAAGTCTACTTCAGCTCAGTGTCCTAGGAACCAAAATATCTTCAGAGGGTTAGTCTTCTAGTTTTTTCCTGGGAATTCATGGTCTTATTCTCTGCTACTCTATTTTCTGCTACTAGTACTCTGTTATGTCCCACTTTTTTGTGTGTGTTTTTTTTTCAGATTGTCCCTCTCTTTAAAGCTCCTGGTTTCTGCTTTCCCATAACTTTGGTTTGCATGAAACGTTGATTTGTCATGGTGCCAACACCAGACTCACTTTGATATTGAAGTATGATTCTCAACAAATACCTCTGTATCTGAATTCTGAATTTCTAAAGAGAGAATCTGATTGGTTAGGTACCCACTTCCAGTTCAGTGGGCTGTGGTTGGGGGAAGATGAAAATGGGAAAATGGATGGAGAGGAGACTTAGGTGTGTCTCACAGTTTGTACTTTTTTAGACTGAGTACCGAAAGTTCTCTAAGAAAGGGGTGTGGACAGGGAGGAAAGGAAGGGTACCTCTGATGTATTTAACATCCTGCA